CAATGGTCACTATCACTGACGTCAGAGAGTGGACTAAGTTAGTAAAGCACCCAAAAAAGAAGACACCAAAAAGATAAAGCAAGGAAGAATATAATTAATTAGGGTTAATTTAGTGCTTAGCAACGGGCAAACTGGCAACATCGGAGGTCGTGGCACCCTCCATGGAGACAATTGAAGAACACCGTACGGAACGATCGCGTAGGCTCAGCACACGGAGCAACCCGATCCCGAGGCTCCGAGATCCAGGCTGAGGCTCGGTCGCTATTCATTTAATCCGAGGCAAATTCAGCTCTCCAGGCCCATCATTCCCTCTCAACTTGCATTGGACTTGGAGCTAGGGCTTCTGCCTCTGTTGTACTTACCCTAAATTATATAGAAGTTCCGTTTTGATCTCTATATTTTAAATGTTGGATTTGTAGATAAAAAAATAAAAATGTAGATTACAATTTAACAGATATTGAGATGAGAAAATCTACTTTAAGGATTACAGTCTTATCTTCATTGTATTTTATCACAACAACTAAGGATTTGTTTAGAAAATATTTTTAAATGATTAAAAGCGTTTTGAAAATATTATTTTTGAGTTCTAAATGCACTTAAAATGATTTTCCATGATTAATTTGTATTTTTATTAAGTATTAGTTTCAAAAACATTTTCTTCAAAAACACTTTTAATCATTTGAACTACAAAAAAAATAATAATAAAAGAATGAGTTAAATCACGACAATTAAAACTACACAACCAAAATGGAACTTCGCCCAAACTACAAGAAGGACAAGGATTGCCTGCCCTCCCGTGCCCTTCTGTTTGTGTGGTCACGGTTAAGCCACGTCAACATTTTATATTATATTCATTTTTGTCTTATTATCTCTATAAAAAAATAATATAAAATGTTGACGTGGCTTAACCGTGACCACACAAAACAGGAGGGCACAGGAGGACATCGGAAGTAGGAGGGCAGACAATCCTTGTCCCTACAAGAACCATACTCTGGCCTAATCAATATGTCACTGTCAAACGATAAATGTAGTATACTATCTTATCAGCAAGCTAAATACTAAACCCTAAATTAGTTTGCTTCATTATTTTAAAGACAGCAAGTATGTTTGAACTTTGAACCAATTTAATTGTCAGTCATATACAGAATTTGAAGTTGTACAAAAGAGAGGGAGAATCTGGATTTGCATGGAGATTTGGGGACATACAAATACAATTGTCAATATATGTTTGCATTCAGTGAGATAAGTTGATTCACTTTCCGTTAAATTTTACTGGATCAACTGCGCATGCATATATGCATATATTATGTAGGTTCAACGTCATTGTTGCCGGCTACTGACAAAACCACCATCTTAAACGGAATGGAGAGATAATGTATGGATCTATCAAATTCTACCACGATCGGATTAATTTAATTTAAACATTTGCAAGTTAAACAACAATTAGCTTGGCTTGCAATGTGCACGAGGTTGATTTTGAAATGTTTAAAAAAAGTATAATTTGACTGTGAATTAAAGCCATAGCTTCATGCACGCTTAAAGTCCAAAAATGGACACCCACCAATTAAAATATCCTCTCTCTCTCTCTCTCTCTCTCTCTCTCACACACACACCATGGGTTTAGAACATTTTCACCGTTTTATGTTTTTCCTGTCAAACGCTAATCAAGAATTTGGCCAACGTTAATTAACAAATGAATTAAGGCTTACCTACTACAGAAATATTGGAGTTTACCTGCCCCAAAAGCAATCAATAGTGAAAAACTAAAAATATAGCACTCTTCAACTAAGAATTAGACCTGCATATATTATGTGCCGGCTAGGACTTTAACTTCATGAAAAAAGTTTGTGAGCAATGCAGTCAGTGCATACGTTTTACAAGTAAAATGAAGCTCGCCTTCTAATTATTATTAATTATTCAAAGACCCGGAATCCGGCCGGAATAACAACAGTTCCCATGGTTCTTTAATTGTATTTGGGGAGACTTTTTTTTATTTTTTATACAACGATATATTTATATTAAGGAGGCGGGGAAATAAATTGGTTGTGAACTCGCCACTCACAGAATTCAAATATAAGACATCTCATTTACAAGTAAAGATGAATACTATTAGACCATAGTACTAAACAACAAGTAGAGTTGTTTGATTAAAAAGAAAATCATTAGAGGACAGGTCGATGGAAGTACATTCTTTCCCGAACTATGTTACATTTCTTTTTGTCCTAAAAAAGAGAGAACATTATATGTGAAGAAATATGTTATGGCCATGAAAGGACTTCACAAGGGATGGGTTATTTTTAGAGAACATTAACGAAAAGCTCTTGATACTATTCACTTTAACCAAAAATCACATTTTTATATTAAAAAGTCAATCCGGTACTATTTATCTTACCCTTTATTTTGTCCTTATCTCAAATTTTTCAAATCATTTTCATTAGTTTTCCTTTATTTTTATCCTTTCTTCATGTTGATGCGAGAGTTGGGCTTATTTACCTGAATAGATATGGAAAACCCTTAACAATTGAAGTAGCACATAGCCGCCTTGGAATTGCTTCTGAAGGAGTTGAAAGTGCTTCTGGTAAATGAAAAACTCTTATGATTATACGTAGGCCAAAATAACTCAAAAAATCACCTTCAACTAGTTTTTTTTTTTTTTTTTCCAAGAAGCACTTGGACCTGTTTGGGTGAAGTTTTGCTATAAGTGTCTATAAAATAGACATGCTAGAATTTGGAAATGTTACTTAAAAAGCATCTGATAGACGCTTTTCCAGAAAACGTTTCGAATAAGTCAGAAATATTTTTAAGTTTTGTTGTCAAACTTAGATAGAAGCGCTTTTATCTGCCAAAAATGATTTTATCCAAGCAATTACACATGTCAGCATATTCCTAGTAAACATGTTTATAAACATAGTAGTTTTTATGAAAACAATCTCAAACGAGCTCTGTTGGACTGTGAGTCTACGAGGCAGTGTCGGAATTTTCCAATTAAGGCCCAAGTGTCCAAGACACTTTTGCAGATCAACTGAACTATATGCTTAATAAAACTGGGCCTAACTAATATAGACTTCTTTTCTGACTTCTGTCCCTAGTTGGCAGATTGACACGAAACATCATTACCTGACTGAGCCCAAACACACACAGCCCGAGTCCAAGCACTTATGGGAACCCAATTTTTGGGAGAATTTGAATTCTGAAATATGTCAGTTACTCTGTCCTCCGCAGAAAATGATGGAGAACCCCATGCCTCTGCCTTACACGTTTTACATTCATTCAACCTCCTCCTTCCCATACGATCCGAAACGCTCTCCCCCTCCCCCTCCGTTGCATACGAGGCCAACCAAATCAACTGAGAAATCTCAATGCCTTTTGTTCACTACTCCATCGGTGCCTTCAAAATTCAGGTAAAGTGATAAAGCTTACTTCCCATCTTAGAGAGAACAGAATTGTTCTTGGCTTGATGTCAACTGCTCTGGTAAAGCCTGAGCGTCGAATACATGCATGTTCTTTTGTTCCTTCATTTGGATAATTTTTATACAAGTTACTACTAGAATTTATACGAACTGAATGAAGCATGTGCCCTTTTAACAACTTGGCGAAGTGATTCTTCTCGTTGTGGTTAAAAAGTGATCCCTTGGACTCGGGTGAAGGAGGCATGCACACTGCTCTAGTCAAGTTAACCAATTGGTCTAACCCGCATTTTGTTTATAGTGTAGAGTTGATTATTGTTCTACTTGGACAATTGTATCTCGGAGTTCTCTTGCAACGTTTATGTTATTTTAATTGGATGAAATACCGCCAATCCTTTTTTCCTTTTGTACGACTTGCAACTAAAGTGAATCAACAGGGGGTGACCCCAAAAGCAAAACAAAAAGAATCCACTGCAAAGTGATTGATACGATATATTGAATTTATTTTTCGAACTCCCAACATTCACAAATTCTTGGTTTCCGTTTTAGTTGCAGGAGAGGTTCCGGTGCAAAGTGGAGCTTCTGCATTAGCTTGGTTTGCAAGCTGTCCAAAACCAAGTACAGAAAGCACAGGTTGACATGTATGTATTTTTTTCTATATCGAGCAATATTATAATCTAATAAAAAAATATAACGCAAGGAGATTCGCACTTCACTATTAGAAGACCTCCGTAGGTTTTTTTTTTTTTTTCCCCTTGTTGTGATAACTTAATTGCATTACAAAGGAGACTAAATTGAAATCGAAATTGATTTATTTATCATTGACTTTGCCCAGGCTATATGTAGTGGGTGCCGTAGCCACCAAGTTTAATTGAATTTGGGGGTAAAAAAACATGAATTCTGAGATTGGAAAAGGTGAAGTGTGTTAAATAATCATAACAAAGGGGACATCTTCTCTTAATTATTATAGTTATTTACTGAAATCATGACATCTCTCTCGATTTTTTTTTTTTTTGAACAAACGATAGTTTTTACACTAAGGGAACGAAGTGAACTTAGCCTCACAATGGGCTAGACATAATGTGGTTAAAATTCGCCTTTAGCAAAAATCGAACTTATGACCATTCGCTTATAAGTGAAGAGAAATATCACTCGATTATAATACTAAATGGCAACTCTCCCGATTTTATTGAGACTTAATTTTCATTGGATGGGTTGGTTGGTTAGTTCTCATTATATATAGATATATAGCCTTCATCAATACCTTAACCTTTCTCTTTGTCAGTTTGTAGCCCCTGCAGGAAGCAAGGTATGATTCATCATCAACTACCACATTTTCATATAGAAAATGAAACCCCCCTCAAATATATGATTGAGCTGCTTTACCCTGTCAGGGAAAATAACTTCCTTTCAACCCTCAAACCAATCACATCCCAGTGCATGATAGGTTTGAGATATTGTCGCCGAGGCATCAGAAGTGTAGGTTAGTTTCTCTGCCATTGGGGGGGGGGATGGGGAGGGAGAGCGAAGTTTTGAGAGACAAATTTAAATCATTGGATTTAAGAGAGAGAGAGAGAGAGAGAGAGAGAGATGTAGATCTGAAAGTTTCGACACTAAATTCCTCTAGTAACAAATATACAGATAGCCAACTTTATAGAGTATAAGAAAAACCAGAACCACAGAAAATGGAAAACGAATTCAAGGACAACAGAATTCGAGAAAGAACATATTGATAATAAATCCCTATCGTAATAAGCCCCATTTATTTCTGATGACCTAAATGGCAGATTGAAAGGGGTTGAAAATATTTTCTAAGTACAGAAAAGAATGTAGAAGATATAGCAAACCCATCGGAGACGACAATATCAAAACACATCCACACACACAAACAATACATTGTATATGGCGGCTTACTCGAACGATTCCCAATTAAACTTAGGGTACGGAGATTGATTGGCGGCTTTGGATGTTGAAGAGGTTGGGATCAATGCCGGGGCAGAATCGAATGTCTCCCACTGTGTGGTCACGACTACCGGCCCTGATGCCGAATGCCTTGATGGTTGTTCTTGCTGATTATGTGTAGGCGGATAATCAACCGAATTCCTCGGTTGATGCTCTTGAATTGGTGCCAGTCTATGTCCATTCCCATTGGAATGACCATCTGAATGCCTCTGCTGAACCTGCTTTGGAATCTGACTTCCATTGCTGCTAGGCGAGGAGTTCTTAGCTTTCAATACATCTAGAGTTTCGACATACTTCTGCACGCGTTTTACCTTCAAAACAAATTATGATCACATCTTAAAGCTGTACTTGAAGATGTCAAGCAAAATTCAGGACCATAGTAATCAAATGTACCTGCATCTTCCTCTGCAGTTTCACATCTCCGTCGCCCATGATTCCATCTAATTTAAGCAACTGGTTCATCAACTGCTCAATTAAAACAAGCACATCTTGCTCTGCAACTTTTTTACCTTTCGTGATTATTGATTCAAGAGCCGACACCTGCAAATCCGAAAACCAAATTTCAATTTCCAAAACACAAATTATATATAGTCATGTACAAATCTTTGCATACACTTCTTTGACAATACCTGGCCAGCAAGCCTGTCTACTTCCAAGCTGATTTCAGAAATCGACTTCGAAGCCTTCTCCATCTTTGCATTGCGTCGCATCTCAAGATATCGCTTTTCTTGGCTAATAGGGTCCTCAACTAACACCATTTTCGACCGGTCCTTCACCCCGGACATGTCAAGAAACGCCTTCGAGTCCCTCTCCTTGTCTTTGAATATCAATTTCTGATCTTCATGGTGCAAACCTGTCGGTCCAACCAGCATTTTCTTCAAATCCCCTGCACAACAAAAGTTACACAATTTTACACACCACAAGTTATTAACAAGCATTAAAACATAAATTTCTCAATTCCAATTCAAAAATGTAATTTGCACAATGCTAAAAATACCATTTTCGGAACACAATAAAGTTACAAAATTGAGAATAAAATTTACCAAAAGAAGACTGAGCACTGATGCTCATTTCATGGTAAATGGACCCATATTTGACCCGAACTCTAATTGTCGGTGGAGGCGCCGAGTTCCGATCAGAGTCCGGATTTCGCTTCTGAACCAGCATTCCTCCCGGTCTGAGCTCCCACTCTCCCTGGCCCGACTCAGCTCCTCCGCCGCCCGAACTTCCATTCAACTCGGCCAATGACACCCCTGTAGTCTTCGTCTTCATCCTCATCATTTTTACTCTCTAGTTTTCCACGAGAGATCTCTCAGATTTTTATCTGCTTCAAAAATTAGAAACAACCCAATTGAGAGAAGGGCTTGCAGATGAAAACCCTGGTTTCAGAATTCTCACGCTCTGACCCCAGCAGCATCAGACCAACCGCTGAAAAGCCACAGCTTTAAAGGCGTCTTGAGAAAGAAATAAACGCAACAACTCATACACCTCTAAAGTTCAAGCCTTGAGCTTGAAGAAAAACATGGAAAGATTCACCGAACCGGGTCCGACCCAGGAAACACAACACCCACAAGGACTCAGATCTTCAGCCAAAAATTCAGCCTAAGTCAAACAGAGGAGAAAATTTTCCCGGAAAAAAAAAACTATTTTTCCCGAGAAAACAAAACCAACCCAGTAAGCTGAAACCCGAGATTATCCCAAAGTGGATGCCGGAAAAATCAATGCAAAATCAGAATGTGATAGTTTTGTTTCTCTTCTGGTTCTTGAGAACTCGAGGAGGAAGAGGGAGAGGAAGAAAAATAAAAAAAATAAAAAGAGTATAAGAAACAAGTGGCCAGCCAGCTAGCTAACTGAGCTGTTGGAACCCCATTTATATATATGAATTAATGATTAAATTATAGCAATAATTATATACTTAATTATTTTATGAAAATCATTGTAAGAAAATAAAATACAGAAAAATAAAATGAAAAAAGCCGCCAAGGTTCGCTTTAAAAAACGCGGAAACCATAATTTTTGGGGTCATACAGCGAACTGGGTAGGGGTCCTGTACTTGCAGGCTTAAAAAAAATTAGCCGTACTTTGTTTGCTCTTTTGACACGTGCCCGATTCAGGGTACTTTATCATTTGTCTGGCTAATTAGGGAGGGTTTTAAGTCCAACACGTGGGAGATTAACGGAGGGTCGGCCCTAAACTTCGGGGTTAAACCGTGGGTGGGTGGTAAGTCGTCACGAACGTGTCTCAGCTTTTACTATATTTTTGGCTGTGCAATTGTAAAAATATGTTTTTCAAGATTTGTTGTTTTAGTTATTATTTTTTAACAAATGATATTATTTATATTAAAAAAAATAGATTGATTTAATCTCACAATGAGTTAAGCAATAATGTGGTTCGAACTCGTCTTTAACGATAATTGAACCTAAAACCTTTCACTTACAAGTGAACAAAAATATCACTTGATCGTAGTACTAAGTAGCTGCTTTAGCTATTATTTACTTTATTTCAGATCACAGCAGCGTTGCATGACCAATTTGTGAATTTTTCCACCGTCAGACTGGTCATGGATGACTCAAAAGCTTTGCTCTAAAGGATCATTGAAGTTTCTGTTATCAAGTAAATTTTGGGTTAATTTTGATTTCATAACTTTATTTTCGAGAGCATTAACTTCAAATCATAGCAGCGTTGCAGGACCAATTTGTGAATCCTTCCGCCAGACTAGTTGTGGAGGACTCCAAAGCTTTGCTTTGAAGGATCACTGAGGTTTCTGTTTCTAACACTCGCCGACAGCTAATGAAGCTGCCTATTTGTACTTGGCCTAAGTTTCCTCTTACTATTGTTAATTTGTTAGTGACTTGTTGCTGTAGGAGATATTGTGACCTTTTTTGGAGGTCTTTTCAATCATTGTACTCGTTTATTATCTGGTTTCAATGATTATTATCGCTTTATCGCGCAGATTACTTGTTTTCTTATTGATTATACAAAACTATATATAGATTTTTATTAATACTATATGCATGACTAATCACATAAAGGGACAAACATATACAACTCATGTGGATAACAAAGTTGAAGATGCCAAAACAAGGGAAAGGTTCTTTGCAATCCCATCATAGTTTTGGGCATTTCTTTTTACCACTTTTTATTTTGTGACCAATAAAACACCTAATTGCACATAACTTTATAAGAAAATAGACAAAGAATAATCCCCATAAAATAATAAACCAGACCAAGTCAAACTCTTTTTCTAAAATTGGATATTAAATTTTTTATAATTTAAAAGTAACAAACAAAAAATTAGTAAACCTAGAAAATCAAATAGGAACATGAACTGTTTACGTCACAGGATAAACTATTACAAGGACGCACCGACACTCCCATACGTGCAGCGAACACGAGGGAGCTTCCAAACACGTGGCGAACTGTAAGCCATACAAAGAGTCGCCGCCAAGCATGAACCGTACGATTTGTTAAAGTTGGAAGTCTAATGCGTTGCGTAGCTCGATGGGGACGGTGCAACCTTTTGAACATACGACATATTAAACTGGCCTCCCTCTAATAATTCTGATAACTAATGTTAAGTAGATTAATATTTTAAATTATATGATTTATCAATAATAGTAATTAAACATGTTAATAATAATAATTAAATACGTTAATTGATATTTAGGTAATAATTTAATAATTAGTAACCATGTTATATGATTATAAAATATGTTTTAAATAGATAGAGAAATGCAATAGGGATTTTCTTTAAAGTGAAACTTTTATTATACTCTATGCCACCTCATATGTTTTGCATAATATTTCATAACGTTGACACGAAAATTGACTAAACTATGAGATGACAAACTCTATAGAGAGTCTCATTCTAAAAAATCTCTCAACACTTCCCATAAATAGTTTCTTTAGCATTACCCAATTACGATGCTCTTAAACTTTTTCTCATTAACTAATATGTCTGCCCCTAATTTGAAATAATTAATTAGTTAGGTTATTTGCAATTTCCTTTTATATATATATATTTTGGTTTTGGAAGTAGTTTCCAATAAAAAGTAATTTTAATTTTTAGTTAATTATCAACAATTCTATTTAATCCATAGGTCTTGTCTTTGATTGGGGACAGGGTACCGACCATTCGATGTGTACAGAATTTGGGTCATCGGGGGGACTGCCTTTGCATTGCATCGCAGTGGTTTTACATAATTCTGTGGGACTGATGTCAAATTGCGAGGCACGTGACATCCAGACAGACACACACTTCTTGTTTTTGTTCTTGTTCTTGTTGCTTGTGTTTGTTTTAAAACAAGGATGAATTATATTTTTAACGTGCATGGCTTCGTTGGAAAAAGATTTTATGTCCACTGATTTGAGAAAGTTTACATAAGAAGAATATAATTGCGTGAGCTTTGAAAGAAAAAAAAAAAGGTTTGTTTAATTGATTATACAAAATACATGTTTACACTCCAACTCGTATTATAACAATTGTTTTATTGTTGATGCAATATATCTTAAAATATAAACACGTAAATTATTAATACCAAGTGTACTGGTCACATTGGAGCATTTCTTTATTGTAATCAATTGAAGTTTTCATATGTTGCTATAAAAGAAAAATGTATATAACAGGTAATACTGTTTTATATTGATTTATTTTAACAAATGATATTGTTAGTGGGTTAAATTTTTAAATGTTAGGGAAGAGGAGGATCGGTGAGGATTTAACACCACCGAAATACATAAGTATTATTACTTTTCACCAATACAATAAAGCGTTATCTAACCATTTTATATTGTTTAAGAATAAAAGTAAGGTGAGAATTTGTTTTCAAGGTGTTCTTTACTCTTTTTTTTTTTTTTTCTTTTTGTGCCCAATGGTGATTTTCGAATTGAGGGGAATATTTTAATTAAGATTACGATTTTTTTTCTTTATTTTTACGTCTGAGTTTCAATGACTCTTTAGCTATTAATTATACTATCTTATGGTGTTTAAATAAAATATTTAAATTTAGAAAGAAAAAAAAATCTGAATGAACATAATCATTTATATCTTGAGTTGTTAATACTTTGCTACCTCATAAATTTATGAATTAGATTATTTTGAGATAGGTTTTATTGACAATTAACTTTTTGTTCAAAAGGGTTATATTAACAATTGACCAAATAGACAATTAGTAAGGAACAAAAGCAAAAGAACAAAAAACCTACCCCAAATTGTAACAAAGTAAAAAAAAAAAAAGGGTTAAAAAGTATAGAACACGCAGTTACATGCGTAACCAGCAGCCAAATCCACACAAGAGCATGACGTACCAGACAGTCATACGTAGTAGGGCTAATATTTGTTCTGCTAGCTAGAAGCTAACCCTATAATAATTCGTTATAGAGAAATAATAAGGAGACTTACTCAAAGTGAAATTTTTTTTATAAATTTTCTATTAGGAAAACTAATGAAAATAACTTGAAAACTTTGAGTTTTAACTATAAGGACAAACTAAAGGATAAAGTGAATAGTAAACTGATCGACTTTTTAGTGTAAAAATGTGATTTTTCGTTAAAGTAAATAGTATTATGAGCTTTTCGTTGAAGTTTCCTTTTCTATCACTTATAGTTTAATGTTAATTTCGTACGAATTATTTGTCACCTTATGTTTTAAGCACAATATTTATAAAGAGTCCTCTTAGCATTTCTCTTCAGTAAATGGGGAGGACTCATTTGGTAGTTGGTCAGCATGTAAAATAAGTATGAACCAATGATAAATTACTTGTTACCTAAATTTATCATTTATACAACTAATTACTTTAATATTTTACTTAGTTACGAAGCAAAGCTGCAACTAATGAGTTATAGTCTTGGATCTCGATGACTTTTTGCGACATATAAAGTAGCTATATATATTTCGACCCTTATAAACTGGGAGGCTTGGATGACATGGCAAAGTAATCATTGACTGTTCATACATGTACTTACCGGAGTTAGCAGAATAATAGGAAGCTTTTAGGTCCTCATGAAACCTTAGGTTGTTGGTGTTCCAAATTAGATGGAGGCACGTGGAAAGTGCATGTCTAAGGTCTAAACTCTCATCATTTTTGCTAATTGGAATGATTTGGGTTTTCATAAAACCCTACTGATACGAAAAGTTGAAGTAAATCTTACGATTTACATATTTGTCCATTTTCTTAAACCCTACTACCAGAAAAGAGTCCATTTTCATAATATAAAACATGATTTTTGCATAAATTAAGAGCATCTGAACCCTAATTGTGTTTTAGGAAATAAAAGGATGGTGGAAGGTATCTTTATTGGTTGGTTAGGGTTTAATTTGAAAACGAAAGTCCAACAACTGAGAAATAAAAAATTGGATGCCAGGTTTGTTTCTATATTGACTGCTCGAAACGGAGTCGTTTCAAAATTTCAATGAGGAAAATTCTTTGTTTTTG